ATCATTTTCCATGTATCCCGACAATTCCTGTTTGCCAGCAGTGCATGCACATAAGCGGCGTTTACTCTCCGCATTTCAGCCTTGATTGCTTTTGAGTAGTCGCTCACCAAAGAATACTTTTTCGCCTTGAAAGCTTGTTCTTTCTTCCGACGCAATCGTTTAAGTGTGGGGGACGAAAAACGGTCTGACCGTATGTATAAAGTTTCCCGCGGGCAGCACGTATCATAACAGAACTTCAAATATTCAGTCAGGGTATCATAAAATATAGAGGGGTCATNAGAGAAATCTGTCTGATCTAATATATCTTTTAGTCTAGCAAGATTTTCGGGTTGGCATTGACGCCGACGAAGACGACGATCACGATGCCGAGTGTAAAACTGGTGATTGGATCTACTGTAGATCGTGGGAGATAACTTCAGTGTTGCATGATCAGAGGTGCCAATAGGGGAAGGACAGCGCAAGTTAAATAAATTCAGGTCGTTAATGAAACACAAATCAAGACAAGTCTTGGGTCTGGTCGGAAAATTACCAACGTGTTGTAGTCCAAGGGTTGTCAAAACGTGACATCAAACCTATTGAAGTCATCACACACGATGCAAAGCGAGGAGTCTACGTAATTTAGCAAAGCGGCGGAGAAAGTATCTGTGAGCTCGTTAAAATGATCAGTGGAACAAGAAGGAGGGATGTAAATGTTACCAAAAATAATGTTTCGGTAGTTACTGAGGTGTTTAAGTCTGCATTTGTACAGTGAAGTACTGATAAAAATGGTAAAATACATTAAGACTCGTTTGCCTGATTTGCACCAATTGTATGTTGTAACACCACCGCCTCGTTTGTGAACCGGAACGGGTCGGCAAACTGGGCAGATGGAGAAATTGTCAATTTTGATCACGTTATCATCAATTTCGTTTTGGAGCCAGGTTTCCTGAAGCATTACGACTCCAACTTTTAAATATTCACGTCTCCTTGTCAGATCTATTACTTCTGCCATGTTGCCAAGAAGGGAGCGCACATTTTCACTGATAACTGCTGGAATGCAGATGTCTGAAACTGATCGTTTGCGTAGTGCAACCTGTCATCCAGCTCTATGTTTTCTGGGAAATGTTTTGAGATTTCCGTAAATTCTCCTCTCCTCGTTACGAACCGATTTGCCAAAAGAAGGTAAAATCCAGTGGCCAGAAGTTCGAAGTTGCTTCATGAAAACGGCAGAGTATTTCACGGAATTTAAGATGACCATAATCACACAACGTTTCTATGGCAATGAAGGACGTGTATCCCAGATAAATCCAGTGAAGAGTGATTGTGTAGTTCCGAGTCCGACGATGTAACGGACCGCGTGGCCAATTCCGAATACCCCGCCTTCAACGATCGTACAATCAACCAATACTGGATGGGGTTTACCGTTACAAAACGGCAATTGTTCTGAATCGTGCCACTCAAGTAGAGATACTTTCGAGATTTTGCGTACCATAAAAATCACATCCAATGCTGGTCCCTCATTTTACCTTCTGAAATGAGGAGTCTATTCTCTCTATGAAATATAAGCGTCATTTTCAAACACTTTCTTAAGAATCTGCTCCCTACCAGAGTGTTGGAAACTGGTAACCATTGTTCCCCATTCCCAAATCCTCTACCTAAACCGCTATAACAGAACGCTTTCGCTCCATCGCTTTAAATTCTGTTGGTCTTAAGTTAAAAGAACGTATTATCCTTACGCGCATTCAGTCCTCACTTGATGTCCCGTACGATTTTCTTCAGTTTACCTTCAAACCAAACAG